GGCAGTGCTCTCATGCCTGATGACCACATAAAGGTCTAATTTGCTTTTGGCTCGCTACAAACATTAGCTAAGGGAGAGTTTTAACACCGTTATTAGCGAGAAGCGCAAGTGCTATCGTACAAACTCCGGGGCTGCGAGATTTAGGAGGCCCATTTTATAACTGATAACGTCATCAGTTTCATTGAACATTCTGTGGCGAAACTGCATTTGTGATTCCGAGCGTTAAAATGTTGAATTGCAATATCAAAGAAAAAGCCGAAAAGTCTATTCATCCCCATCAGATATTTCAAAGAAAAGAGTTCTGTTCATCCCCATCAGTTATTTTCTGCAAACGCCCTTCCTTCCTTCTCAACTTCCCCTTTTCCCATTTTTCTGACGAAAAATGTGGGAGGGATGTGCCTCAGCAATATAACCAAAAAAATTTTCCCAAATATCAATTTAAAAACAAAAAATGCTGGAAGATTTTAAAATTCCAAAGAAATTCCAAAGAAAAAGACAATGGCGACATTGAACTGGAGTGAAATTTCAGGGTGAACATGGCTGGTTCCGGATAGTGACATCGGAGTACAAACACGGTGGCTCGAAATTCAATTTGCGAATCGAAGAAGACTGCGTTTGGGCTGATCCGCTCATTTAGACCCCTCAATATTTTCCGCTTTTTAAGAAATTTACGTTCTCAGAATCTGATAAAATTTGTTTATTTTTTATTACAAAGAACAACACCAGGTGATAAACAGACATTTTTAACTCACAGAAGCAGAAAGAACAAGCTAAGCATTGTCAACACTCGACAAAAATCTCGACTTTTTACCTCCCCTCCCCGTCCCTCATTTTGTTTTTTTTTTTGAAAAAAACTGCATACTGTACGGTATTACCCCACCAAATTCTAGCTGAAAATTTTGCAAAAAAAAAAAACTAAACTGTCACCTCAAGATTTGAATGTCTCCACAAAAAAATTCATGCAATTATCGATTGAAATTTCCACAAATTTCTGCCACTGAACTCATCCCCTAATTTGCGTATATATATGTGAGCGAGAAAGGCTATTCGAGACTGAAAGCAAGAAATTCCACCCATCACTGTTAAAAATATGCTCATATTAAACGCCTATATTTTTTAAGCGTTTTTATGTTGGT